GCACCGCCCCCCCCCCCGCCACTCCCCCGCAAGGAAAACCAGTTTCCATGCTGTGGGGAGCAGAGTTGCAGAGGAAACATGGATGTCATGAAAAAAAAGCTGCTGACACTAGGTGGCAAGATTAAATTAGGATTGGCCAGCCCGCCAGGGTGGTGAGTCCTTGCAAAGTCCCCCAGGCTGGCTGGGCTGGGAGTCCCTCTGTCCCTCTCTGGCACTTTTGAAGCTCCCATTTGTTCAGAACCAAACAGCAGGGGGTTCTGGTGGGGTCCTAGCCTGCCTTCCTCACCTCAGCCTTAAACGTGACTTCCGATGAACTCTTCGCTCCTCTAACAAGGCAGCAGTGGGGAGACTTGGTGGACAATGTCACCAAGTGATTCTCAGGTTGCTGTGTACAGTGGTCTGACTTAGGATCCACGAGACTGTGATCTTGACGTGGGTTGCAGTGAAAGCCCATTTGGCCAGGAGTGCGTGCGGTTCCCACCAATAAGGGGCTGGAGCGAGGCCACCGTGGCCGCTCCTGGCTGTGCTGTGGTCCAAGGGACACCTCCAGCGCTCGCACCTTCTGGCCGGAGGAAGCTGCTGCTGCTGCTGCTGCTGCTGCGTGTGTGTGTGTGCGCGCGCGCGCGCGTGTGTTGGGGATGTGAAGGCGGAGCAGCGGAGGGAAAGGGACTCGGACTGCGCCCCGCACAAAGCTGGGTGCCAGGGTAGGAGTGTGCGCCCCACCTTCCTTCTGGCTCGCGCCTGCGAGCAGGAGAGCAATTTAGAGAATTCATTGTGTGATACGTGTTCTCGGCCCAACCAATAAACTCATTTCCCTTAAAAAAAAAATGAAAACAAAAGTTCCAGTGTTTGACGGACGTGAAAAACCTCATAAGGTGATGGTTGTGCAGTGGTTGCGGGAGGGGGCCGGGCGAGGTCCCCGGAGCATGTGCCGGACATTGTCGCGGTGGCCGGGCGCGCGAAGGGAGCTCTCCCCGCATTGTGCGGAGCAGGTGCGGCCGCATTACCATACAGCTGAGCGCACAAAGAGCCACTGATTCCGGCTGCACAATAACAGGCCGCCCTAATGACAGCCACGCGAGCGACACATACCGAACTCACTTTTTACCAGGCGGAGGGAGGCCGGCGGGGAGACACCGGGAGAGAGGGCTGGGGACCCGGAAAGGAGGCGGTGGCTGGGAAGCGCGCGGGGAGGGTGTGCGTGAGCACAGGGACGAAGGGGCTGTCGTTGACGGCGTCGGTATCTCTGGGCGGGGGGACGCCGCGGGGAGACCGGGAGAGAGGGCTGGGGACCCGGAAAGGAGGCGGTGGCTGGGAAGCGCGCGGGGAGGGTGTGCGTGAGCACAGGGACGAAGGGGCTGTCGTTGACGGCGTCGGTATCTCTGGGCGGGGGGGCGC